TAGCTGAGGAGTTGGTCGAGAAGCTCGAGGACACCCAGGTAGAGTCCAGCTGGGGGAGGAGGCGGCGGAGGAAGACGGGGAGAGCTGCTTCCAGAGCCGCTCGACGTCAGCGACGGGGACGGCGATGAAGGAGGAGGAGAAGGTCTTGACAGCTGCTGCCTCTGACCGCCTCACGCTCTGCAAGAGCTTGAGGGAGAGAACGTCGCTGAAGACCTGCACGAGAGAGTGAGGGAGGAGGATGGAGGGGTAGGAAGGATGTGGGGTGAGGGGAGGGGGGGTAAGGAGGGAGGGAAGAGCATGGGGAGGAAGGCGGGAGGAGGGAGGAGGGGTATGAAGGAGGGGGGAGAGGAGGAGGAGAAGTGGGAGGGAGGGAGAAGAAGAGATGAAAGGGGGGAGAGCTGGGGAGGAAAGTAGGAAGAGAGAGAAGGAGAAGGGAGGAGTGCAGATAAGATCAAGGAAAAAGGGACGAAGACGGGAGGGATGAACAGGAGAGATAGAGAAGGGGAGGCAGGAGGAGGAAGGGGATGCAATGAGAATCTATGCTCCTCCTCCTCAACTTCCTCCCCCTCCTCCTCATCCTCCTCCTCCTCCTCCCCGTTCTCCCCTTCCTCTTCCTCCTTCCCTCCATCTCCCCGTCTCTTACCTCCTCTGCTCGCACGTAAGTCGCCACTTTGCTCCTCAAGCAGCTGAACAAGATCTCTGCCCAGCAGAGATCTAGCAGGTTTGCACTGCTCTGCTCTCCACCAGCATTCCCAAAGTCGAGGAGAGAACGGAGGGGATAAAGAAGAGAAGGAGGAGACGCGGCAGAGACATTAAGAGGAGGAGGAGGAGGAGGAGGAGACTTGACTGAGTTTTCTGCACTCCACGTTATTCGAGTCATGAAACGATCAGCTTGTCATGTTATGACGTACCGGGATCAAGTGGAGGTGGGGGAGAGATGTATTCTGATATTTGAGATCAGCGGCACAAAGACAAGACAAGACAAGACAAGACACAGCACAAGTCAAGATCGAAACTCACTGAAAGTTTCTCTTTCGACAAAACTCCATCCAGCTCTTCATCTGCATCTGCCTCCTACAACCATTCGAGTCAGATGATGATCGGCAAGGTTCACTCCTCCACTTTCGGCTTCTCCGCCTCCCTCTCCATCATCTCCATTACCATCACTCCCACGACCGCCGCCGCCAGAACCACCACCATCACCATTTTCATCATCTCCATCTCCATAATCTCCATCATCATCATCATCTCCATCATCTCCATCATCATCATCCTCATCATCATCATCATCATCATCATCATCATCTCCATCATCATCATCTCCATCATCATCATCTCCATCATCATCACCGTCCTAG